CTTGTCCAGGCTACAGACATCAAACATCAGGAAATGGAAAACTCCCCTCAGCATATCCAGGCATATTTTTATTTTTAGAGGCAGAGTCTCACTTTGTTGCCCTTGGTAGAATGCTGTGGCATCACAGCTCACAGCAACCTCCAGCTCTTGGGCTCAGGCAATTCTCTTGCCTCAGCCTCCCAAGTAGCTGGGACTACAGGTGCCCGCCACAATGCCCAGCTATTTTTCTGTTGCAGTTTGGCTGGGGCGGGTCTGAACCCACAACCCTCGATATATGGGGCCGGCGCCCTACTCAGTGATCTAAAGGCGCTGCCCTCTCTTCAAATTCTTTACCGAATCCTCAGAGGCGAAGACCAGTGATGCGACACTCCCACCGCATAAGGCACTAAGAGCTGTAAGGAGAGCCGGCCAGGTGCGGGTGGCTGCGCCAGGGCACGTCTTGCCAGCGTCAGGGCCTCCTGGCGGCTGGGCTAGCAGACTGCCAGTCCTCATTAGATTGCTTTCTTCCTAGAGCACAGGGTAGGGATGTATACATCTAAACAGCGCTTTGCATTATTTCTAGTTGAGTGCAACTGTCAAAGCAATATGTGTTCATTGGTCGTGTTTCCTGAGCGGTGTGCTCCAGTCGGCCCTGCTGGTCAGCGCGCGGATTAAACCTCATAGCTTCCAGCCCCAAGCGGCGCACGCTGTTCTGATTGACAGGACCCAGTCCGTGCTGGAGCTGCAGACGCTTGGGGTCAGTGCGGTCCTACCGCCCACTCAGCCCAGCGCACCCCGCCCCGCAGCCAATCATGTCCATCCTTCTCTTCTGAACAGAAGCAAACTTATTCTGGACTTCAAACTTCCATATTTAACTAGGTTTTTTCTTGAGGGTGTCTTATGTCTCTCTCTTTTAAAAAATGAAATTCCTTCGCGACCCACACAGAAAAGTCAAATTTAGATTCAGAACATGAATGCCACAATGTACTAGGGAAGTTTGGGGAGTGCAAACTGTTCTGTCCTTAAGTCCTTAACTGTTCTGTCCATTTTGTTTTGATACCAAAAGAAAAACTTTGCATGCAAATCTATAGAGTACCAAATTGGCGTTGTTGCTGAAAATCCTTTCCAGTTGATGGTGAGATTTCACACAAGTCTCTCATTTCAGAAGAGTCTGCACAAAACACGTGATGATGAGCAGATCTTTTAAGTGTAGGTGTGAAAGGCCCCCCCATTTTTTATTAAATCATAGCTGTGTACATTAATGCAATCATGGGGTACAATGTGCTAGTTTAACACACATTCTGAAATGCTTTCATCAAGTTGGTCAACATAGCCTTCAGGGCATTTTCTTAGTTATTGTGTTAAGACATTTATATTCTACACGTAGTACATGTACCCTTGTAAGATGCATTGTAGGTGTGGTCCCACCAACTACTCTCCCTCCACCCGTCTTCCCCCCTCCCCTCCCTCTCCCGTTTGCCCTTCTTCTTGAGCTATAATTGCGTTATAGCTTTCTTTTATAAATTATTATTATTAAATGATAGCTGTATACATTAATGAAAACATGGGGTACAGTGTAGTGTTTTCATATACAATTTAAAATATTTTCATCAAACTGGTTAACATAGACTTTGTGTCATTTACTTAGTTATTGCGTTAAAATATTTATACTCTAATTCTAGAAAAGTTCACTTGTACCCTTGTTAGACAGACCATATAGGTGATCTTTTCAGTCACCCTCCCACCAGGTTATAGCTTTCATAAGAAAGCTATAAATTGGTTTCATAGTAAGAATGAGTACATTGGATACTTTTTCTTCCATTCTTGAGATACTTTGCTAAGAAGAATATGTTCCAGCTCCATCCATGTAAACGTGTAAGAGGTAAAGTCTCTATCTTTCTTTAAGGCTGCATAATATTCCATAGTCTACATATACCATAATTTATTGATTCATTCATGGGTCGATGGGCACTTGGGCTTCTTCCATGACTTAGCAATTATGAATTGTGCTGCAATA